GGGGCCCCCGCCCGGCCCGCCCTGCCGCCGGGGCCCCGGCCGCTGAGCTGCCAAGCAAGCGAGCTCCGACGCTGTAGGAACTGGGCGCTGACGTGACAGGAAGCTGCGCGCTAGGGAACCCCCTTCTGCACGGGTGACATCCGCCACGGGCCCGCCACCAGCTCCGCTCCACAGAGCAACAAGGCACTTTGCTTAATGGGCCCGGCAGTGTGGGGCGGAGCTAGAGTGACCCCCATGCCTGCCCAGCCCCGCCACGGGCCCGCCACCAGCTCCGCTCCACAGAGCAACAAGGCACTTTGCTTAATGGGCCCGGCAGTGTGGGGCGGAGCTAGAGTGACCCCCATGCCTGCCCAGGTGGGCCTCGCCCCACGCGCGCACCGCCCCCAGCCAAGGGGTGCAGGGCCCCATATCCCCATTGTCTTTTCTTGCCCTGGGAGTCTAGTTGCATTTCCTCGGGCTGCAGGGCTCCAGCGCGTGGCTCTCCCTGACCCACCCCGCACTGACAAGGCCCCAGGCGTGGGGCTGAGTCCTGCCGTGGCAGCATGCCGTGGGGCAGAGTGACACAGCCCCGGGGCGAGGGCGGCACCAAGGAGCCATAGGACGGGCCCCACAGGCGGCCCAGCTAAACAGCTTCGGTTCGCCGCCTGGGCCCCGCCCCCGGCCACTCCTGGGAGCACCCCCTGGTTCTAGCCTCCCCCAGGAGACTGTGGCCGGGAGCCAACTGAGACGGGAAGAGCCTCCAGGCTGGGTCAGGGTTAGGATCCATCCAGCCCAGGGTCCCCTCTGCCCACACCAGCCACTGCCTGATGCCCCAGAGGAATCCTCACAGGATCCCTCCCATCACCTGACAGAGGCCAGGGACCATATTCCTGCCCATCCTCACTAACAACCATTGATGGACCAAACCGCCATGAATTTATCCAGCTCTGTTTGAACCCTGTTCATAGTTTTGGACTTCACAACATCCTCTGGCAAGGAGTTCCACAGGTTGACTGGGTGCTGCATGAAGAAAAACGTCCTTTGGTTTGTTTTAAACCTGCTACCTGCTTTCATTTGGTGAGCCCTAAGTTCTTGTGTTATGGGAACAAGTAAATAACTTTTCCTTATTTATTTTCTCCAAATCAGTCATGGTATAGGCCTCTATCATACCCCCCCCCCCCCCCCCCTTAGTCTGCTCTTTTCCAAGCTGAAAAGTCCCAGTCTTGTTAATCTCTCTTCATACAGCAGCCGTTCCGAACCCCCAATCGTTGTTGCAGAGTATGGACAAAGCAACACTCTGCCTGCCTTGACACCTCAGATACAGACACGCCTCCTGGTGAAATCTGGGACAGTCGCCTCTCCCTAGAGATCCTCCCCCACTTCTGACTTTCTGCCCAGGCCTGCTGGCCCTTCCCACGCAGTGGATTTCACCCTGTTCGACCCAGGCCCCCCGGGAGCCCAGCCACTCAGTGAACTACAGTGCCTCTCAGTGTTGCCCCCAGAGACCGCAGGGAGCCAATGGGAGGAGAGTGTGAGACTCGAATGGGAGCAGCGATCTCCATGCTGCAGTCTTGTGTGGGAACAAGAGCTGGGAGAGACAGGCTGAGCCAGGCATGGAGGGTGGGGGGCTGCCCCGCCTAGCAAGGACTGAGCCTTAGAACAGCAGATGTGAGTAGAACAGGGAATGTGCAGTTAGACGAGATGCGATTCATTTCTTTTATTTGGGGTTTTGTGACCTCCTCGGGGCTGAGCCATGTGCTCCCCTTCCCCACACACTGTAACTTTTAGACTGAATCCCAGGGACGCCGATGTGCTTTAATCTGCCTTTTCCAATTACGCTGTAACACTTAGCAACCAAGAACGGCGCCTTTGTGTTCTTAATAAACTCCCCTTCTCAAGGCTCTGGTCTGACTCCTGGGAGACTCGGGGAGCACGTGCCTGAGTCGGAGGGGTCTGCTAGCAGGAGGCACCGTTCATTTTCCAGCTCTCTGCTGAGGGAGGGTCAAGGAGCTTGGGGGACCCCGACAGGAAGAAATTCCCAAGTGCACCTGCCTGGCTTCTCCAAGGGGTGCCGGCAGTGGGGCGGGTCCAGGGAATCTGAGACTCAGGGGAGTTTAAGCCATTAGTGGCCGGGGCCTGCAGGGCCCCCACCGTCCTCGTCCGGAGTGCCGCATGGGGGAGCAGCCCCCTGAAGCGCCTCATTGTAAGCCATGCAGAGCGCCCCTAGCAAAGAGGAGAACTCCGGGAAGCTGATTATCTCGTCCTTGTTCTTGTCCAGATCCTCCGTGAGCTCCGTGATTTTCTCCTCCGGCAGTTTCTAGAGGCAGAGCAAAGCACAGACACTGCTGGGTACCCTGGGAAGGGAGGCTTGGGGCCCAAGAGGGACATGGGGGCCAGATGTAACGTCTCCCAGGCACCTCCTTTCCCAGCCCACCATGGTTGCTATGGGAGGCGGTTTGGTGGTGGGGCTGCAGCGAGTGGGGCTGGACAGAACGGCTCAGCCTAGACCCTCTGGGGACCTTTCCGGCCGGCGACTCTCCCACGGTGACTGGGGGCCCCTGGAGTTTCTCCACGGGGTCGATTTGTCGTGCAAAGCATGAGGACGTCCCAACACCCCGCGCACATGGGAGCCCCGTGCAGAGCACCCTGCACCCGCCAGGCCACGGCTCCCC